CGGTGTCCCTCTGCCTGTCAGTTTCAGTCCGTTCTCCCGCTCCCCTGAAGCCAGAGATCTGGTTGTCCGCAGCTGGTCAGTTGCAGTTCTCCTGCTCTACAGGACCTAGCCGGTTACCCCGAGGGTCTGTGGCCGGAGAGCCAGGCAACAGGCCTAGAGAAGCCGAGGCAGGATCCCCAAGCTCCACCCTCCCCATTCCTGCTGTGCCCGGACCAGTGGGTCTCTTCTTTACTGACAGGGTGGGGGTGAGCAGCAAAGCCAGAGAAGAAACTGAAAGTGGAACTTTCAGAACAGTGGGGCAAGACGGTGAGCACCATCTGGTTATGAGATGCATTAGGTTGGCCACAGATGGGGAAAAGGAATGCCCTAAAGTTTCCTACTTAAGTGTGATTTCAAAAGAAGCAGTTGCACCTCTTTCGTGATCTGGTCAAAGAGGAGGGAATAGGAGGGCCTGGGCATGGACTGGGGCCTCTCCTGAGCACTGCTGGCCACAGCTCCTTTGGGCAAGCAGTACCTTTGGGCACGGCTACCTCCCTGCTCACATCACCATCCTCTGATCTGCCCCATGTGTCAGGACCTTTGACCTAACACACCCATGCACACCCCAGCTTTCGGGCTCCAGTGGTAACACCAGCCAATGCTCAGGGTACTGCCCTGGACTGTTGGCAGTGGAACCTCAAGGAGACCCTCTCTGGCCTAGAAGGAGAAGGTGATTTTCATTCCAAGGTGCCAGCCAGCCTTTGGGGGGTGAGGCAAGGGGCAGCCGCTACCATTATTCGGAGAAGCAGAATTGGGGCAAAGAATCCGCAGAACAAGCAGTGTCACACTGATGCTTCTGTTTTCGGAAATAAGGCGTTCTAGCCCAGGAGGCACATCCTTTTCAGGAAGATGCTTCAGAGAAGGAAGGAGATGTCTGATTAGGGAGAGGGAAGTCAAATTTTAGGGGTACATGCTCCTTCTGCAACTCCTTCTCCAGGTGGGTGGTCACAGTGGGTCTCATGCCATGCGCTCAGCTCCCGGGGGCAGAGAGACAGAAACACTGAGGTGGTGAGAGGGGTGGTACCCGGCGGCAGCAGAGGGCGGTCCTAATGAGCCCAGTTTCCAGGGCCTGTAGTGCTGCCAGTCAGATCCTGCATTATGAGGAGTTGCAGCTGACCCTTTCCTGTCAGTTGAGGGCACCTTTTGGTCAGTGCCCTCTGATGCCAACAGCGCTGTCAGATCTCAGAAAGGCGCTACCACAGAGCAAGGTCTCTAGGCCATCTCACCCTACCCCATGTGACCCAGCGTGTCTCGCCAAATGCTCAGCTCCAGGCTCAGCAGCTGCATCCTTCAGCCCAGAGTCCCCAGCCGGTTCCAACAGCAGTTCGGAGGGCACACAGACCGTGGGGAAGAGCCCAGCTGTCCTCCGCCCCACCGGTGTCCTTAAGTCCCAAGAGCAGGAAGATACAGTCGGTCCACCTTTGCCAGGTCCTTCCACTTCCCCGGAAAGCGGTGTGGGGTGCCCGCCTCTTCTCACTTGCTCTGGCTCTGCAAGGCGAGGAGGGAGGGAGGGGAGGAGGAGGAGGTGCCTGGGCTTAGCGGTGAAGCAGCTCTCACCTCGCGGGAGAAAAGCCACGTCAGGCCAGCAAGCATCTTTGTCCGGCCAATTCAATTAAAAATGCAGATGGAAAGGGTGTGTTCCTTGGCCAACGAGCCAGCTGGAAATTCACAAGCCAGTGGCAACATCGCACAAACATTTCTGTCTCAGGCTGTCAGCTAAATCTCCAGGGACCCCGTTTGCACAGCACGAATAACTCTGCTCTCCCCTCTCCCAGTCATAGGGAGGAAAATCTTCCTTTGCTGGGCCCCCAAGCTAGCACCAGGGGGCTGAGAGGCTGCTGCTTTCTCCCCACTTCCCCCTTTTTCTGAGAGAAGGAAAGTTGCTACCCCCCACTTGTGCATAATTTGGGTTGGAGGGGCAGTACCTGCTCCATCATTCCTGCCTATTCCCCCCCCCCCCGCCATAGCTGCAGGAAACAGGATGGGGACAGGAGAAACATACCTAGGGGACTCCGTTTTTGCAGGGCCTCTCTCAGACGTTGTCTCCCTCGGAAAGGTAAGGATTAATGTATTCTCCCAGACCGCAGTTTGCAGGAGGGAGGGAGCTATTTTGGCCCCAAGTAAGACCAGGCCTAAATCTAATCCCTGCCGTGTCAACTGGGGGGGTCAGTTAAGCCTGCCTCTGCCCCACAGCTAATCAAATGTGCTATTTGAAGGGGTCACCAGGAGTGAGTGCACAGTGCCCTACTTTCATTGCACGCCCATCTCCAACCTTCCCAGGCCACCTGAGTTCCCCCCTCCGCAGCCCTGCCGCTCCCTCCAGCGAGCACGCGGCCCCCTCTCACCTCCATCTGGCTGTAAATCCAGCCCAGAAACTTTGCGACTTGGGTGTAGACGCCTGGCTTGTTCCTCTGGCCGCAGCCGGTTCCCCAGCTGGTGACACCAGCCAAGTACCATCGGCTGCTGTCCTGACAGACCAGGGGGCCGCCGCTGTCGCCCTGGGCAGAGAGACGCGGGCATTAGAGAGTTGGAGGCCAGAAGCCGCCCGGCGTTCCTGGGATTGGTAGCTGGCCCTGGCCTTAGAAAAAGGCCCCAGCGCTGAGCGGAGCACGCTTCCGCCAGGCCCTGCACCGGGGGCCGCATTTCCTTCGTCTTTCACGAACTCTATCGGCGTGATACTGTTACTCAAAGGATGCCATTCACGATGTTCCCTTGTGGCGCATCTATCTTTCCTCAAAGTGCCCGAAACCTGATTTTTTCCTGAAGCATGTAAAACTGCACAGGTGAGGAAGCCCTTCAGCTGTGATTGTGTGGGCCTATCACAGCTCAACATGTGGGCGCTATCGCCTTTGCAGGTGGCACCTTTTGATCACCCCATTTCTTTTTTTAAATTGATATTTCCATCAGCTCTTCTGTCTGTAATTTCCAAGTTTAATGAAATATCATTTAAATGAAATTGTTCTAAGTCACATAACACAATACTGCTGACCCTTCAAAAATTATTTTTTAAAACCCTTTTCTTAGTATTATGCTCAACGGGTGATAGAAAAGTTTTTACTTTTTTGTGTTTCCTTTTAAGATCAGTATCTTAAAGTACCTTCTAGTATGAAAGCTATTCTGTCAGATATTCTGTCAGATAGAATATTTTAAAAATCATAGAAATACAATTATTTTAAAACTAATTTTAGATGAGTAAGGTGTTGCATGATCAAATGAGTTAAAAGGGATAGTAAGACCATTGTCAAGTGAGTGGCATTTGGTAGCTGGGCCATTGGGGGGCAGGAATGTTGGGGGCCAGAACAGCAGAAGATCTCCCAAACTTGAAAGTCAGCTGCAAGTTTGCAAGATATCAAGAAGGGTTAGCACAAGGGAGGGCACCTCATCTTTGTTCTTGGTGTGCCTCAGTGATGGACTCCTCTGATTCTGATCAGAACCTGGTGGACTCCAAGCCTCAAGTTGAGGAAGCTACCGGATGTCTGCCACTTGCAAGGGATGAGTTAGACTCAGCACGTGTAGCTGCTGATTCAGACAGCAAGAGTGCCAAGCCCTCAATCGTGCCACCATTTAAAAAGGGCTGAGCAGTGGAGATGAGAGTCGTCGGGAGGGAGGGAGTCAGCTCTAATTGGGAACTGTGAATATAGAAGAATATTCTCCAGACCACCCTTTCCTACTTGGAAGTAAGTCTCCTGATTCCTGACCTGTTATCCACTCCAAGTGTCTCCTGTTCCTTACCCTATGATTGGACCTTTGGCTTGACGTCTGGATCTGCTTTCATGGAACTCTCAGGGAACCCACAGACAGTCTTGGATGACTCCGCTTCCTTTCTTCAAGTGTTGCGACATTGATATAATTTACAAGGCAGGAATCCTCCCTTTGACTTCTCTAGCCTTTGTTGAACTCTGCCTAACAGTCTCCCCTTATCTGTGTCTCAGCTGGTATTACAAGTCAGTAAAAGCTCCCAGACTTGTAATGGTTTGCATCAGTCCAAGCTTGCACCGGACAGCCCTTCCCCACTTCTCTTCAAGCAAGGAAACCTCTGTTACCTGGCAAGAGTCTGTGCCCCCTTGCAGAAACCCAGCACACATCATCCGGGGGGTCAAGAATCCCTCGTAGACATTACGGCTGTTGCAGAGCCGATAGTCAATGATTTTCACTTCTGCTTCCCGCAGCTTGGGCGATGTATTCTCTGAAAAAGGCAACCGAATGATGCGATGAGCCCTGGATACCCCAAGCCTCTCTTGCTGGAACTGGGTTTGGTCACAGAACCTGTCGGGCTCAGCCCAAGAGCAGCAACGAGGCAATCCGGTACGGTTCAGTTCCTTTATTAGCTTGCACCTAATAGACAAAATCTCGCCAGACTCAACCTATGCTGAAGCAACTAGTGGCTGTACCCCGTGAGACTCCAGGGAAGGGCCAGCCTCGTCCTCTTTGTCTTCCCACACTCCTGCTGCGGGCTGAGGAGGCGCTTGCCTGGGAATGCCTCTCCCCCCTCCTGGCAACCTCGAGGTTCCATTCCAGACTCTTCCCCACTCATGCCATCCATTACAGCACCTTAGAGCTGGAAAGAGCTCATTATAGCCAAGATGTCCACCCCACTCCTAAAGCACATCAGCAGGTGGCTGCCTAGCCTCTATCAGAGCATGTCCAGCGACAGGAAGCTCATCCCCTCTGTGGAAGTGCCTTCCCCGTCCGGCTTGTGGGGGGACTCCCCTGTGTTCTTGGCCTGAGAGCCCCAGCCTAGCAAAGGAGGCCCCCTCACCCAACCTACCTTCATTTTCACTGATCTTGCCAAAGCCTGTGATGAAGCATGTCCTCCCAGGAAGAAACCTTTGGCCTGACATGGGAAGGCAGGCTGGGCGAACATGAGCTGGAACAGAGGGAGAAACAAGTGAGCCTTCCCTCGAGGGAAGACAAAGGGTCTCCCAGCGCTTCAGCTGAGCCACTCCGAAGGCAGGCTTTGGATTGCTCGGCCGTGTGAGATCTTCACCTGAGAGGACCAAGGGATGGGAGAGCTTCATCAGGGCAATGTCGTAGTCATCGTGATCATCACTGTAATTGGCATTAATGATGACCTCAGAGACAAGGATCCCCTCCATCGCCTGCTTGAGGTCAGCGGCACCAGCATATACCTTCCACTCATCCAGGATTTTCACACTATTTCTGAAAAGTCCAAAGGCAAAAGGTTGGGGGGTGTCTGCCTCAGGCTCAGGGCACAGGTATCCAGAGGGAGATCTCTCTGAGACTGTGGGAATCAGCCCTGCTCCCATTCCAATTCTTCATTTGGAAAATCAATCCAATTTAATTATTCAGACTGAGACAGCAAATTGGTCCAAAAGAAGAAGCTGACAAGGGTTTAGATGGTTGTTGGGGGGGGGGGGGGCACGGGGATAGCCTCCTTAAAACAGGGGAATTCTTAGCATTCACCATGGTAGGAGCAGCTCAAGAAAATCATCATGCGGTACATTTCTTTGCTGGGTGTCAGGAAAAGGTTGGACAGGCAACCAGATGGGAAGCTCTGCTTCTCTGCAGCAAGACGGCCCTTCAGGCACCTTCTTCTGGCAGAAGT